ATTTTTATTTATTTTTATATATTTTTATTTATTAAAAATTATAAAATACAAAAATATAGATCTTTAGTTTTAAGCCTTTAAAAATATTTTTATTAATTTGATCATTATAAAGTTTAAATTATTTAAAACTAATATCTTTTGTTACTTATAGATGATATGTATGTTTTAAAATTTGTTACATCATGTATCATGTTAAAATAATAAATTGATAAATTTTACTTCATCAAATTATTACTAAATAATATAAAGAATTTTTTAAAAATATTTTAAATTTTATAATTCTTAAAAATAATAAAAAATATTTTAAAAATAAAATAAAATGTGACCATAATTTTAGGTTATATATATATATATATATATATATATATAAGTGTTACTATTTCTTAAAAACTTTATAAAATTATAAATTTAAATTAATATTCTTAAAAGTGGGATAATTGTTTTTATATAATCTGTTTCTCATTAAACATATGTTTTTCCTGTTTAATAATACACGTGATCTCAAAATATTTATATATATATATATATATATATATATATATATATATAAATTTTTATGAAATATAATGTGATATTTTTAAGTAATAATTGGATTAAATTAAATTTCTATTAGTTAATTTAATTTTATAAAATTTTTAAAACTAAAGATTTTAAAAGAATGCCTAATTGTTATTACTTTGACTAAAATAAATTAAAACAACTTTTTCTAAACTATTTTTAATTTAATTTTTTAATATTTAATTAGAAATATTTACATAGTGTATGAGATACTAATTAATAACAAATCGATTAAAACTAAATATTTTAGCAACCTATATTTTGATATTGATAGATTATTTTACTGTAGATTAGATCATTGTCCATACACTCCGAAATAATTATAGTATATATCAACGCTTTTCTCTTGATGTCAATAAATTGATAGATGATTAATGTAAGAGAGAATTTTATCAAGTTTAAACTTTAAACTTCTTCATCTAATTTTAATTATTTTAATATTGTGTGAGTCATTCTATAATTAATTTCTCAATAACTCATCTAAGTCAATATTTATTCCTTTATTTATATTTTAGGATGTATCTTAAGGTCTTTTAAAATTTTAGAAATTACCTTCAACATTATGCATGAGAACTTTGAACAAACCATAGCATGTTATGCCTGCCCTCGTGCATGAGGATGTACTCCCGAGTCAATATGCCTTTTTTATTGAGTTTCATCCATGAATTTTTATATATAATTTCTTTTCTTACAGATAACTCATACATATTTGAGGCAAGTTTATGAAATCTGGCCTAGTATTGAATTTGCTTTTGGTTTTCAGCTGATACATATACTGATACATTAGTGCAAGCAGCAATAATTGAGTTTTAATATTATTATAAAATTAAATAATTATTTGAGTTTTATTAGCTTGTTCATAATTTCTTGAATTTAAAAAATAATTGGTTATTTTAAAATAATAGCAAGCATTTATTTTTAAAATAAATTAAATCAAATACACATTATTATTTGTAGTTGCTTTACTATTGAAGATTTATTCTTATATAAAATAAGATATTATTTTATTGTCATGACCCAAAATATTGTAGATTTTACACATAATGTACCTTGGGCGACATGATGAGTGGCAATATCCTAACTTTGATTAATCATCTTATGCATCTAAAATATGTGATATAAACAACCTTTTCGGGGCTTAGAAACAAAAAAAACTCAACCTTTTGGGAATGATCTTTCAACTTTCAAAGGCGACAAAATTACGAACACCACATGGAGTGTTAGTTCATGCTGCATCAAAGTAGACACCGAGTGTGTTGTCTTTTATCTATTTGATACTAATGAATAAATAAGATTATTTGCAGCACTAGCTTTCGTTTTCTTAATGACAATGCCCACTTGTTTTAATTAAATTCTGATCAATGCTTATAAAAATTGATACGAAGAAGGTGGGTGGAGTTTGGCCTTATTTCCACAAATTATTTACATAATGAAATTTATAACATTTAATATATTTTTTTAAATTTCATTAACGAGCATTTTTTTTGTAAGAGGCTTTCCTTTCATTTTTTATAAATATATAGAACATACAAAATTATTATACTTTTGGGCCTTCTACTATCTATGATTAAGATGAAAATTTAGTACCTTAGTAATTTTTTACTCAACTTTAGTCTATCAAATATTTAATTATAAAAATCAAATTTATTATTATTTGAAAAACTTATTATTGTACTTAGTTAAGTCTTTCTGTAGGTTTTTTCCTAGTTAAACAAATTGAATTCTCATTATTTTAAAAAATCTTTGTTAATTGAACTCATAATATCATTTTAAATTGCCTTTGGCTTAAAATTTATCCATCTAACATCATATTTGAGCCTAAATTAAAAATTCAGTTTTTCTCTCTTCAAAATCTTAACATGATCACGCCTATTTCAATCTTCATAGTTTTTTATCTATTGAATTATTTTTCATGTTTGTTCTAAATTATTTTTTATTTTAATAAAAAATAATGATTTAAGAGATTTTATTTGATAAAAAGATTTGATTGACAACAAAATTATCAAGAGGTTATTTTAAAACATTTTTTTTATAAAATAAGATTTTAATTGTTTTTAATTTAAAATTTTATTTGTTATTTCTTTTTTTAACTTTTTGAATTTAATTTTTTAAATTTATTTCTCGTTTTTGTTTGATCCCTCTATGAGTGATTTATTAATTTATTCTTTTATTTGCTTACACAACATCTAAATTACTTCATGAGATATGTCATTAACAAAATAAAAACTTTTATATTCTTAAATAAAATTTTATATTATAAAATTAAAATTTTGCAATTAAGATTTAAAACTATATAAAAAATAAGTATTATATTATCACGTTAAGTTCATATTACATGAGTTAAATTAATTGTGACATATCAAAATAAAAAAGAATTATCGATAAACAAATATATAAAATTTTAATTTTTAAAATTTATTTAAAAGATTAAAATAAGAGACGAGTTAAAAAGTCATAATTATTTTAAAAAATGAAATATTTATTTAATTCGATAATCCATTGATAAAGTATATCTCCGATCTATCCGGGATACGATAGCGCATCTTTTTTGACATACAAGTGGTTCATTTTATTAATCAATTAGGCTTGTTTTGGTGAAGTTGGGATTTGCGTTGCGTTAACTTTTTCGATTCTATCATGAATCTACCAAATCATTCCATGCCTTGGACCGTACAAATCCCTAATCCTTCCATTATAGTTTTATTTTCAATTAGGGATATATTTTTCTCAAATAAAACAAAAAACTGACATGCACAAAAGATATCAACATACATTATTCTTATATTAATTTTTATAATATTTTATACAACATTATTCTTTTCTATCTACATTCATTACATCAATTATTTTATCACACACTTTTTTTTCTTCTCATATTTCTTTGTTATACACTTGATGGAAGAAATATTATTTTGCAAAAATATATATAATTATTAAAAGTTCAAATTGGGATTATATAATCCGAGAAACACCACACGTAATTATTTAAAACTATTACAATGACAAATCCCCACGAAATCTTGCCATTTAAAGCTAATTTCTCCAACATTAGAATATTGTAAACAAACATTAAAACAAATGTACCAAAATTAGCTACCTAAAAAAAGAGGATAGCACCCGACCCAACACGTGCATGATTTCGCTTCCACGACTAGCGATGTAGATACTATGCTTTCGGAGTCGTCGTTACGTAATTTTAAAAAAATAACAATAGTATAATTTTGTTGTTGTCAGAATTTGTAATATAAAATATTTAATATTTTTAATTGAATAAATAAGATAATTAAGAAAAATACACTTTTCGAATTTGTATCTTTCACTAATTACCAAATACGCAATGGTTTCGCAGGGAAAATACGATTCTTTTCTATGCTACCAGTTCAGGGATCTGCCTGAACCGGCTTTCGATTTGACGGCGCGGTTCCGTTGACCTGAGGTCAACCCCTCCAACCAATCATTTTGATACACGTCATTGTTTCACATACCCCAAGGATTGACCAAAATATCGTCCATCCATCGACCATCATCACCCGCGATATATCTTCCTCATGGTATTAAAAAAAAAAGTTTCAGTGATACGGAGAGATCATACCCCGAAGTGGATTTCAGAATCTCAGCGCCATGTCTAAGCATTAAATAAATAAATAAAAATAACAAGAAGGAAAAGAGGATGTGAAGATTTTGCCATTTCTTAATAGATTTTATTTTTTGAAAGCGACCTTCTATTACAGATAAATATTTAATGATATAAAATATATATGTTTTAGACTGAAAATTTTAAGAATTTTTGTTAATGTGAATGCTAGTCAGTGTAATTTTGCACACCAAATAAAAATAATACTTATTTAAAAATCAACATTGCTTAATTTTTATATTTAAAAGTATTTCTATTATTTATCTTTTTTGTTATTTTATGTTATGTGACTTTTTTATATTAAACATTTATTTTAATTTTATTTTATATTCTTATTATTACTTATGTTTACTTAAATTTTAATCCATTGTATTAAATTAAAGATATATTTTATAGATAAACTAAAATTTATTATCAATATAATGTAATTATAATTGGATTTTATTTTTAAAATTTTAAATTTTGATACATCATATGAATAAAAATTATGGGTATTAATTAAAATAATTTATTTTTATAATTTTGACAATTTTTACTTCTTTAAATTATTCTACCTTAATTTAATAAAACATTTATTATTTTTAATTTTGTTTTTATTTGTTTTGAATAACAAATATGTTAATTTTTTATATTTTCACAAACATTTATTAGAAATGTTTTATATAGAAAGGTAAAAAGAAATGGTGACGTGACATGATAATTGATGAATGGATAGAAGAACATATCGTGTTACATTTTTACCTTATACTAAGCCGTATTTAAGATCTAACTAAGCACCCGCTTTACGTTAAGGATTCCTTCGTCTCTCTCTCTCTTCTTCACTTTGCCTCTGTTTGAAGCAAGTGATGGAGCTTGATGGCGTCGTTTCTCGGCCGAGGATGTTGGAAAACATTAACGGCTTTGATCTGTCACCGGATGAATCCGAAGAGGTTCACGTTCTTGCCGTCGATGACAGCCTCGTTGATCGCAAGGTCATTGAGCACCTGCTCAAAGTCTTAGCTTGTAAAGGTTCGTCCTTTCAAATAATAATAATAAAGCTTACTAAATTTTGATTTTCCCTTCAGGGAATTTGTTGGGATTGAAGAATTTTATTTTGTTGGGAAACTGCAGTTACTGCTGTTGACAGTGGACTAAGAGCGCTCCAATTCCTTGGACTATTGGACGAACAAAAAATGCACACTGAATCAAATGGTTTTGTTGTATGTATCAATCATAGGGAATTCGATTTCATCCAATAATCAATTTTCTCTCCTAAACCTTTGCTTTGTGTTATTTTCCCAAGCAGCGTTTAAAGGTGGATCTAATCATCACAGACTACTGTATGCCCGGAATGACCGGTTATGAGCTGCTCAAGAAAATCAAGGTTACATTTACAATAATGTTAAATATAACTGTAAAGTAAGAGTATATTTTTCTCTGAACCGAAAGATGATTGAGGAGTGTTAAATTGGTGCAGGAATCGTCCACGTTCAGAGAAATTCCCGTTGTGATTATGTCCTCTGAAAACATTTTGCCGCGCATAGACAGGTATATCATATTTTTCTTCTTTTGATTCATATGTATTATTTATATATGTGAGTTTTTTTTTTAAAAGATAGTTTTCTGAAACATGAATTGATTCCGATTGAGAAATTGTGTAGATGTTTGGAAGAGGGTGCAGAGGATTTCATAGTGAAGCCAGTGAAGTTATCTGACGTGAAACGTTTGAAGGATTACATGACAACGAAGGAGATTAGGGGTGGAAGCCAAGAAAACAGAGTGGGTGGTGGCATCAACAAAAGGAAGCTACCACAAGGAACTTCTGACGTGTCATCATCACCACCGTCCAGTCCCTCATCGACACTTTCATCTTCTCCCTCAGTGATTGATTCTCCAATCAGACGGATCAAAATGACCAGCACTGATTGACACTGTTAATTTGCATTTTCCTTCTATGCCTGCGATCTATATGTTCTTTTTTCTTTTGGATTTGTTGTTTTCCTCTTTTGGGGGTTCAAACTGCAATTGCCTTCCCGTTATCTGTAACGGTTTTTGTTGCTCTACCCTGTTCTTATCTTAAGTTATTTTGTTTGTTTGTATGAAGGTGGGTTAATTCAGTTTATTGACTCACTGAAAATGATTAATTAACTGACTACGTTACTGTTTTTTCGTCTTTTGGAAAAGGTAAAACTAAAGGAAAAAAGTTTAAGCTCTTTTATGAGCTTTAGATTGCCTGAATGGATAATCAAATTCAGTTGAGAAGAAATGTGAAAAGCCAGAAGGAAATAGAATAATGTTGGCTGGAAAAAGGGTATTCATGACTCAGCAATTAATTCGGGGAGGAAATTATTTTTATTTTTATTTTTTGCTTCATTTTTAATTTTAAATATCACCCTTTATTTTATTTCTATTTTAAAAACTAACTTAAATATATATTTATGCCTTATAATATTTTATTTTAATCCTTTTAAATATTTTATATTTTTATTTTTAACTTTTTTTAAGTTAAATACTTTTTAACTCCAGTGATTGTTAAATGATAATTTTGCAAACAGCATATTTAATTATTATTTTTTCTGTAGGATGGACCAAAATCAAAAAGTTAAAAGAAAAAGGTTCTAAAACGCATTAAAGTCTTCAAAAATTATTTAAAATGTGAAAAAAAAATAGCTTTCACGATTTCTTATATAAATATAAAAACTGAAAATAAAATGAAAAATATTAATGTTTTTGTGATTAAAAATAAAAAAAAAGTGCTTTTCAAATTAAATAGACCTTTAGTTTGCAAGATCTTGTCTTGGAAGAGAATAATGAGAATGGCGATGTGTGAAGTGTCCCTCTAATGAAGAGGGTAGGAAAGTGTGGTGGGGACAGAGGGTTTGTGTATTTGTCTAGTTGTCTCTAATGGAAGAGGGTTCCCTCCAATAAATGGTAGGCAATGCTATATTGGTAAACCCTTGCCCATGTGGAACTCGAATATTTGGTCACTGCTGCAGGACCAGGGTGATCCAAAGGGAGTAGGGGACACACCCTCTTGCAGGTTTCCTTCTTTTTAATCCTTTTCCTTTCTCTTCTTTTTTTAACTGTCCAACCCGTTTTGGCATCACTTTGACAAACCATATGCCACATCTACTTCTAAGATTTACTGATACAATGTTTTAAATCAAAACTAAATAAAACATTGGCACATGAAACATTGAAGAGAAGTTACCCAACCAAATGTGGCACTGGCACGCATGGACAGTTGTTGGTGTTTCTACTGGCTTAACTTGTTTTGATTTTCTTTCTCTTCCCTCCTTGCCCTACATTAGATTTTGTGTCTTTTTGGGTCTATTCCGTTTTGTGTAGAACAACCGAAGCAAACTTATTAACAAATAATAGTCAAGATTCCTATAATTACCAATTGCTGTCATGGCTCTATTGCAGCCCGATTATCTATGATTCCCAACACACATCTGCAACATGTGTCAGCAATGTAGCACTAATTCAATCTTAAAATTGATGTAGTTGTGAAAGTTTTGAATATTGGCTTAGCTTGATTACGCCCAACTTTACCATTTTTGACTTATGAATCGAATTGCACTGTCTCCTTTATTTATATAAAAAAAAAATAATAATAAGCTATTCCTTTCAACACGTGAAAATCATCGAAGTGAGTTTTAAGTCTTTTAATAGAGTTTACGCGCACAGTGTTAGTTACACATTATTAGTGAATAATTATATAAGATGTGAAGCTCATTAAATAACATGATAACACCTTGTTAATGCATGAAATGTTAATTCTTGTTAAAATTGAATTAGATAGCCTCTAATTCAAACAGGCAAATAAAAGCAACAAAGTGGAATATATTTTCCAGTGATAAATATAGGTGCAAATAAAAGGATGAACACATGAGGTGATAATGAAATCGATTTCAATACGTGGGTTGGGCCTATGTAAATAGTAATGAAGATTTGTTTTGTCTGATTGGGGCCCATAAAACCCAAATTGCAAGGTATAATAGAAGAAATAGCAAGTAACAATCTTTCTGGTTTGTGCTGGCCATCAATGTTGTATCCACAGGGTGGTCCCATAATCCAGTGCCCTTCAAATTGTCTTGGTGCGAAGTTTAAATTTAATTATGTCACTGATGGTTGGCAAAATCATGATACGTAAAATCTGCTATGTTTTGTTTGATTGCTCTACCATGGTACATATGGGCCATTTAACATTTGTTGTCAATTTGTCATGATTGTAGACGAAAGTTTAGTAATGGATGACATAAACACTCACTTGTCACTTTCGTTTCTTCAACCACTTCTAGTTGCCCTAATATACGGTAAACGCAGATCATCATCCTGTAGTAAACTTTCTGGATATTCACCCATTACTCATGCATATGGCTAATATCCCACGTCTAGTTAAGCGACACGTCATCAAAATTAATATGTAAAAATTGTAGCATATTTTATATCTATATTGACAAGTATCGTGTGTATTGCTTGAAATTTTTTTTATTTATTCAAAGAAATATAAGTAACTTAGTACATAGGGGGGGGAGAGAGAGAGAGAGAGAGAGAGAGAGAGAGAATTATTATTATTATTATTATTTTAAATAGCAACTTACATTTATATTGTTTGGGCATTTTAAGCTCAAGTAAAATTTTAAACAAAAATAGAAGACAGGTAAGAAAAAAAATATTATTATTAAATACAGTGGAATTACATGTATATTAAAGAGGAATAAAGTATAATATGAGATATTTTTATTACTAGTGATAAATATTTTATTTTATTATATAATAATAAATAAAAACATAAGACTATTAAAATTTAATTTAGTGTATTAAAATTCAAAATAAAATTGAGATACACAAAAATTACAATAAAAAACCAATTTAAATTTAAAATAGAAATTATAGAATTAATTAAATTTAAGTAGTAGTATTTGTGAGAAAATAAAATAATAAAATCGAGTTTACAAAAATTATAGTTGCAAAAGATAAGCTCATCAAAAAGTAAGTACTCAAATTTATAATATAAGAGTAGACTTATTTTAAATCATAGATAATTAAGATTTGAGATGAAAAAAGATATAAAGAGAACATTCTAAATCAATTAAAAGCCTATACTTTTAAATATTAATCTAAAAAATTTATATAAAAAGAAATTTTAACTATAAAAAAATTTAAATAATTAATAATTTGATAATATAATATAAGTGCTAAATATTAGCCGTGAAATGTGTTAAAAATAAAAAGGAATTAAGAAAATATTTATTTATATTTAAGAACAAAAACTCAAATTTATGTTAAAATGGACAAATTTTTAAATTCGTAATATAGAATTTTATAAATACTTTTACTACATAAATATACATAAAAGCACAATAATTATGCACTGAAGTTGTATCGTTTATTTTATGAGCAATGCATTACAAGGAATAAAATGATAAAAGGGCCATGGAGAAAGAAATGAAACTGAACAATAAATGTCCCAAACATAAATTCAAAAGGATACAGGAACAAAGAGGAGTAAGGAATGTAGAAGTCTAAATTCAATGCACATAAATCTTTTCAACTTGCCTTCATTATTGAATTTGATTGTTGGTGTGTAATTTGAGATATGAGTATAATTTGTTCTTTTGGGTATTATTCAACAAATGATTTAAATTTAAGAGAATCGTGAATTAAATTGAATTATTTCTTTCAAATTTAAACAAAATTTAGAAAACCTTTTAAGATGAAGATATTAATAAAGAATTTGATTGTAGTATTAATAAATAAAATTAATATTTTAAAGTGTAGTATTCTTTTTAAAAAAAAATATTTTGAATATAGGAAAGTATTTTCTTTTGTGAGAATTTTGAATGAGATATTTCAAGTAACTTATCAAGATTGATATAATCTTGACATGAAAGTGTTGTATAAATAAAAGTAATAAAAATATAGTACAATTCTCAAGTCTCTTGACTTGAGGATTAGAGGTAGCTCTCAAAAAGAAAGAAAACAAATCAACATAAATTTAGTAATCTTATATGTATGATTAGTCTATTATACGGATTTATTGTAATATCAAAAAATATTAATTTATGTTATTAGCTTCTAGTTTAAGTCAGAACATTTTACACTTCTTTTATCAATTTCTAAGTTTCTTTTGCAATAAATCAAGTTTTAAGCTACCAACAAATAAACCACTTTTCTCTCTTCTTAGGGTTTTAATAATCAGTATGGGGGGGGATAAATTGAATTCTTAAGAATGGTTAGAAGAAAATTAAGGAAGGGAAAGTACAAATCCCCTTATTTATAATGTGTATTATTGTGCTTAATGAGAATGTGATAATGATTCTAGACAAATAAATGATAAAATATTCAATAATATCAAATGTAAAAAAAAAAAAAAAAAGAAGATATTGAAATATAAAAAAATTATAAGTTCATGAAACTTTGTAATAAAAATTTAGAATTGTTTAGATGAATAAATAAATTTATCATTTAAGAAAAAAAAATCCTAAGTCAAGTGGAGTTAAAACTTTATAAGTTGTTTATTTTTAAAGTAAAGCGTTTACCATTAATTGTATTGAGAATTTTTATCAATTAGAAGTAATTGCATACTTAAATTTAATGTTTTATTCACTACGATGATTTAATTAAAAATTTTACAATGTATTTAAGGAGGTTTGAGTGAAATCAAGTAAGAAATTAAATATAAATAGATAATTTTTCACTTTCTTGGATGAGTAATATTTATTAATGTGTTTTTGAAAAAAATTTCAAAGTAAAAGATAAGAAAAGTTATGTAATTCAATTAGAAAATTAAAAATTAAGCTACTTGATTAAACTTAAATAAATCATATAGAGAAAATTAATTTAAAATAGTTAAAATAAGTTAATTTTGATTTGTTTAAAAGATATAGTTATATATATATATATTTTACATTTTAACATTT